GTAATTTCATTATGTGTGTCACCTTCCTCATCCACAAAATATGGGAATTAAACAAAATTACCTCTTTGGTCCTTTCTAATAGTCAAATGTTGGATTCTTTGATGAGATTCTTAATAACTACTGGAAAAGAAAAAATGTATTTTTTTGAAATCTTATTTTAAACTAACATGCCAAATATCCATCTTTTGTTTTTTTTTAAAAAAACCTGAAGTATAACCTACATAGAGTAAACTGCATAAACTATAAGTAAACAGATTTTATTATTCAAACTCAAACGGTACCCTATCCACACCAAAAAATATTACCAGCACCAGAAAATCTCCCTTCTTTTTGTACACATACCGCCCCCCATAGTATTACCTGTTCTTGCTATAAAGGGAACATATTTGTATTTTTATTGTACAATATTCTTGTTTTATATAATATTACGGTGTGAGATACATTCAAATTGGTGTTCTTTAGTAACAGATCACTTGTTTTCATTATAGTATTTCATTAAATGAAAGATGGAATTTCACTTTATACATCATGTAGTGTGGAAGAACATTTGGTATAATTCCAGACTCTAGCTCCAAAGGTGCTATCAAAGTTTTTGAACATATATCTTGATTTACGTAAGAATTTTTGCACACACACACACACACACACACACACACACACACACTATCCAATCTATTGGACTGGATTGCTGGGTCACAGGATATACATATGTTCAACTTTTATAGGTATAATAGTTTCTAGTTGATAGACTTCTTCATGCATCTTTAGTATTGTTTGCTATTAGTTTTAGCCATTCTGATGTATATAGTTATATCTCATTGTTTAAAGTTGCATTTCATTGATTAACAAGGCTGAGATTTTACATGGTTATTGACAATTTGGTTGTTACCTTTTATAAAATGCTTTTTCCAATCCTCTTTTAAAAAATGGTGGGAAGGTCTTTCTGATATGTTACCTATCGTTCCCAGTTATCCATCAAATACCAATGCTTATGTTGCTGTAATATATTTTGTAGATATTATTAAAATCACAGTTTCCCTTAAATAGAGAAATTAATCTAGATGACCCGGGTGGGTTGTGAAGCCTACCCTTCTCATGGCCTGCTCTACAAATTTCGGATTTGCCAAAGTGGGTTCCATATTGATATAAACCAATCCCACGCAATAAATCTCTTAATATCTCTTTACTGGCATTGCTTGACCTGTTTAATCCTGATTGATATAACTGGGTTGTCTTTTTCCTTATTTACTACATTCTTTATGTATTTTAGTTATGAGCTCTTTGACAGTGTTATGATTTACAACTATCTCCTCCCATCCTGTGGTGTGTCTTGTCAATCCATTAATGATTTTGAGATGGAAAAAAAGTATCATAAAAGTTTCAGTAGTCTTGTCAATACTGTGTACTTTTAATATATTGTTAAAAAATCTGTAAGAATCCTAAAAATCATAATTATTCCTGACATGATCTCTAGAAGAATTTTTACTTCTTGTATTTACATCTATAGTTTACTGGGACTTCAATTTTGTGTGTAGTATGGAGGTAAAAGTCATTTTTTACCAATTACATATATTATTCCAATTAATGCATGATAGGTAATCCTTTTTAACATTTTTTCCTGCTGTGCCTTGCCACTTTTGCAAAAAACCAAGCATTTAAATATGTGTGTCTGTCTGTAGACTATTCTATTCATTGATCTAAATATCCTTGAGCAAATACTGTACTGTGCTAATTACTGCAGCTTTAATTCCAGGTGTATAAGTTTTAGAGCTTTGTTCTTTGAGACTGTTTCAGTTATTCTTGGCCTTTGCATCTCCATGCAGCTATCAGACCAAATTTGGCGATTCGGATAAAACATGATTATTCATGACCAGTGTTTGTTCATTTTCAGATGGGAAGCCCACAACTATTTCACGGTAAGAAACTGATCTGCTCTCTGCAAGATGGGCTTTGTGGAAGTTACGTGTGTCCAGGCATATTATTCTCTTCAGGTTCTATAGCCCAGAAAATGCTTTATCTCTAGTCCACAAGTTTGTGCCAGTCTTTCCCATGCTTCACAAAACTGACTCTTCTAACTCTGCTAATGTACTCTAATTCAATCTTATAATACTTAGTTGACAAAACAGAGGACGTCTGAGCTCTCGCAATTCTTTCCTCATCTACTTCCAAGTATCTCTTTTCTCACTTCCTCAAATCCTGCAGCTTACTTTTTTTTTTTTTGGTACCGGAAATTGAACTCAGGACCTTGCGCTTGCCCGGCAGGCTCTTGTGCCGTTGAGCTACAGCCCCAGCCCCCTCAAATTCTTATGTCATATCTCAGAGGAAACAGGAAGATATATGAAGAATTTAGATAAATCATGGCATAATACCTTAGGAAATAGGACATCTGATCAAGAATATTGACAGAGGATTTGCTTTAAAAAAATTTCATAGATTATTTTTATATTTCATTTATATTTAGACGTCTTCTTCTCTACTAGATCATTTACGTGTATCTAATGTTCCCCTAAAAGGTCTCATAGATCTGCTTCTTTCACATCATGTGAAATCTCTCTGCAACTTAGAAGCAGGTAGAGAATAAGTGGAGAAACTTTCTTTTTTTCTGGGGAGAGACATTTGCCTGATTGGTGCCAAGGGGGGAAGAGTTCAGGTGACTGGGAAAAGAATTACCGAAACAATAGAGCACTACATCTAAGCTGGGAGAGAGAGCTAATGCACAGGAACAAGAAAGCGAGAAAAAGACTTTACTACCCCAGTGAGACCGAGGGTAGAAGCAACAGTGGGAAGGTGGGAGAGTACAGTCAGAGAGGACTATGCGTGAGTTACTAATTCCAGAAGCAGAGAAGTTACGGATGCTGGAAAGGTCCAGGATGGGTACCTGAGGCAGAACAGTATACAGACAATTGCTTGGGATGAAACAGGATTGAGTCAGATCGGCATGTTAGATTGTTTGTTCAGCATGTTAGATTGTTCACCTGACTGTTGCATTATCTAGTCTGACGGCAAAGACTACACAGAAATTAAAATTGTCAACCAGACGTCGAAGTCATCTTTGGGGAAACGACTTGAGACATGAGGAGGTGATGCAGTTATGGCCCAGGCCTCATGGGAATAGAGTTTTTTCTAGACAAGGCTGCTAAAGAGTTCTGGAAGTGCTAATAGAGAAAAATATCCCTCTACATCTGTCAACTTTTGACACTTAAGAGTGTCAGAACAGAAATTAGCTGGCAAATAGGAGAGGAGGGAAAATAACAGTAAATGAATGAATGGTAACAGAACTACAATTCAGTGTTAGCAAAGAATTCACTTGAAATGCTGGATATTTAAACAGTTTCAGAAAAAAGCTTGAAGGTCTGCCAAGTACTCAGTATTGTTCATATTGTCAGATCTTTTAAGTATAATCAGTATAGCAAGAGGTAAGATGCATACACATTTGAATATTTCTATCTCAGTAAAAACATATCTAAAATTCATTACAATTCCAGTGTTTTTTATACAAAGACCCCTGAGAGAACCATCTCCTTTAATTAAACGCTAGGAAAATACTGGCTTCTTCAGTTGAACTTATGTATCACATTCTTTTATTAGAGAAAGAAAATTTTAATATACTATTCTTTAATACATAGGCTATTTGGGAAACTAAGCTTCCTAATAGTTTTCCTGATTAGCTCAGAGTCTGATATATGATATTTGCTTAATAATTATTTGTTATGTGGTTTTAATAGAAAAAGTACAGAACAACTAACCATAGAGATTGAGATTAAAATACCAATTCTACTTACTAGCTCTTAACCTTGGGTAATTTTGTTTCTTTCTTTGAAAAATGGGGTTTAAAGAATTTAATTCTTAGGGTTATAATAAGGTTTAAATGAGATAAAAAAGTAAAGCACTTTGGCAGAGAGTAGGAACAAATTAAAAAGTACTATTTTTTATTGTAGACTAATCTGTGTAACTTACATAGTTGGAAATATTGTAAAAATTAAAATTATATTGTGCAATTGAGTGGATAAAAAAGAAACTTTTTGTGAGAGAATTTTTTAAAATCTAAGTTTTTATAGACAAGCACTGACGGTTTTAGATGAGCCTTTGCATTTAATTTGCCATTTGCAAATGTGGTTTACGCTCATTCAATTTAAGGAAAGTCTGGATGCCTCTAAGTGCCAAGTGCTGCTAGGATCAGGAGATATAGTGATGAACGACCAAAAAAGTCTCACTCTTCAAAGTTCATGGTCTAACTGAAGAAGACTTCATAACTATTAAATTTTAAACTAACGCTCTTTCTATATGCTAATGCTTATCCATCCCTCTGGAAAAACAAGGGTTTCTTTACTGTGTTCCTTCACTCTGACCCCAGTCTTATTTCTGAAAAGACGACTGATTCCTACTGGCAGGAATATTTATGGGTTTCTAGTCCATTCCCTCAGAGAAAAAAAGCAGTTTCATGAGGAGTCAACCGGCTACTAAACACAGTGGCATTCTAGAAAATTAATTTTCAAAAAAAGTTTACTGCTTCTGTACACAAAAGCCAATATACAGAGATAAAAGCAGAGCTGCCGCTTTTGGAAAAGGGGATGGGAAGATTATGTTATATCTATTATGAGCTTATAACAATTCAATTACCAGCAGTAATTTACCAGGAAGATAATTTAGGGTAATTGAAGCAATATTTTTCCACTGTGGTTACCTTGACAGAAAATTTGACTACAATAGGAAGGACAGAGTCACATGGGACAAGAATCAGATCCTGTTCCTTGTCCTCCTTTTAAACTAACAAGAAAAATCACAGACAGAAATAGAGGTTGGCAAAAGTTTTTAAATTTAATTGAGCCCAGGTCCTTCTTTTAAAAACTTCAGCAACTATGTCAGTAAATTATTTCTGTATGACTAAATTATAATTAATATCCATATAGTACACATTGCTATTCCTCAAGAAGAAAAATTTAAGGTGAATTTAAAAAGCTGTACATTTCAACTACACAAAGGTACACATTTATTCTTACCAATGGCCCTCTCATTTTGGTGCAGGACATTGTTCCCTCTTTTCCACGAAGGAGTAGGTCCTTGTTCCGTGGTCTTAAGAGTCACAGGCTGATAACTTTCTTCATGAACAGGAGTTCTCTGGGTGCAGTAGAGCGTCCCGTGTTGCTGGGCAGCCATTTGAGCACTGTGTGCATGATCTGATTTTGCTAAAGTTTGGCACTCGGAAGAATAGTAAGATGGTAAAGACGGTATCACAGTGACCAGGTCAGAACACGCATCTGAGAGCGGAGGACCGCTTTCCTGATTCCACTGATTGAATCTGTGTTCTGTGGGAAGCACGTATTTTGAATTAAAACAGTCATGGGTAATAATGTTCGGAGAATTCTGAGGCGTTGCTGAGTGACACTGGGACACCTGAGTACTTTTACTACTTCTAATATTTGACCCAGGGTTGGGAGGCGGATGAGGCATTAGTGTACCCTGAGCTTGCATAAAGGCATTGGCTTTGCTTGCAGGCTGTGGCGGAATGACAGGGCCTTTTCTGTTTGTGTCTATAAACCCTGACTGGACGTCTGCAGATCCTGTTCTTCTACTTACTCGCGCTCCACCTCTCTGCGGACTGCTCCGCTGAGTCTTCAAGTCACTACTGTATCCAGGGCTTACACTTTCTTCTTTGGAGGCAGGCCAGGCTTGCTTAGTGAGGTTATAATCTGAGGGTATAAAACAGTTCGAAGGCACGTGATCCGTTCCAGATCCTAACACAGACACGTTCTCAGCGTCCCCCTTGGACTTGTTCCTATCAGCAGAATTTACAGCACAAGCAGGACCGTTAGTGGTCTTGCTGCCAGCACTTTTACTGTGGGCTTGCTGAGACCACGGCTGAGCTGCTGCTGCTTGGCTCTTCCGCGAGTGAGTGTCTTCAGCGCTGCTTTCTTTATCGAGGGTTTCATCAAACCACCTCAGCTTCTTAGCAGTCTTCAGGATTTCTACACCTTTTTCTTTTTCCTTCGTCAATTCAATACTATCTCTGATAGCTGCTGCCTTTTGATTTCTGAATTTAAAGCCTGGTTTTATAAACAGTGCCTTCAGATAATCATGTTCATACTTTGAGTCTTTCTTTAAAATACTTTTAAGAAACTTCACACCACTTCTCTGATGGCTGCTGCATTTCATTTTCCTGTGCTCCTCAAGTAAGTCATAATGAGAGATTACATTACACAATGATGTTGAGGTTTCCGCTATTTTTTGTTTATCTTTTGAATCAGAATTTTGAGGTATATGGACAGCCTGAAAACTGTCAGAAAATAAAGGCAACTCTTTTTTCTCGTAATTAAAATATTGCATCTTTTCATCTGTGACATCTTTTAATTCTTCTAACTTATCGGAACACTGCACCGGGTCAATTTCTTTTATCTGTATGTTCTTTGCTAATGGCCTAGCTGACTGTCTGCTGGATGACAAGACTAAAGGTGTCGCCACTGGTACAAATGAAGCAGGAGCTAAAGTAGTTCTATTTTGTTGAGTTAATCCACAGTATTTCCCTTGGTCTGGAAATGCAGCCACCTCCCGGGTTTGTGAGTCGGGAGTGGCCCAGGCTTTGTTGGATTTAAATGCTGGGGTCGCAGTAACTAATGGCCTCCCCCTCTTGAGTGCTCCAGAAGTGAAGTCATTTGTCTTCACAGGGCTCATTTCAGAGTTTTTTTCAGTTTTTTTCTCTAGTACAATCACGGGTGGACTATATACAAAAGCTCCCGAGCTCTGAGGGGTACTTGTGGCTCTTTCTACAGTTCTACCTAAAGTGGACGCATTTTCTTCCTTATTATTAAAATGTTCCCATGGAGGCAAGACACTAGATTTACTTAAAATATCTGAGGAAGGTGTGACGGACCAAGTGTTCTGAGCATCTAGGTCTGTAAGCCAGTTATTTATACGCTGGGCTTTAGAGAAGGACAGCTTATCTTCATCACAGCAGTTTAGGGGAGCGGACTGCAGGGTTGCTGGTCGGAGAGGAACAGAATTCTGCTGAGCGGCTGACCGCTCCTCAGTGAGTGTTAGGTGTATCTCTTCACGCTCGCCAGCCTCGAGACTGTCTGCGCTTGAGAGGGTTTCAGAATTGGTTATCTGCTTAACTTCATCGCAAAATCTCTAGAGAAAGAGAGAGAGCAGTGCTTTATACCTTAGATCTTTTTAAATAGTAAAATGAATGACACACAGCTGTCACCGAGTCCAGTTCTCTTCAGCATGTATGACTACAACAGCACAGATGTGGAGACAATTTATATCCCTGCACTGGTCAGTTCTCAGGGTAAAAACAGGGCTACCCAGATTTATAATAAATATTCTTGCTTTCATTTCAACTCAAGTAACTATCTAGTTATTCCAGTCATAGTTACAGCTTAGAAAATAAGTTTTCTTATTGATACTCCATTCAGAGTACGAGTTTCTTGAAGGTTGCATAATAGCAAGTAAAATTCTAAAAAATAGTTCTCCCTCTCTCCCTCTCCCTCCCTCTCTCTTCCTCCCTCTCTCTCCTCCCTCTCTCTCTCCATCCCTCTCTCTCTCTCCCTCCTTCTCTCCCTCCTCTAAACTATCTAAAAAATAGTTCTCCCTCTCCCTCTGCCTCTCCCTCTCTCCCTCTCCCTCTGCCTCTCCCTCTCTCCCTCTCCCTCTCCCTCTCCCTCTCTCTCTGCCTCTCCCTCTCCCTCTGTCTCTCTCTCTCTCTCTCTCCCCCTCTCTCAGGACCTCACGCTTGCCAGGCAGGTTGTGCTCCACGGAACTAAATCCCTGCCTCCCCCATTTTTTGATTTTTTTTGAGTAGCTATTTGTAACATGTAGTTTTCCCTGAAACATTCTCTGGTCTTGAATGAATCTCCTAAAAGCTCCGTGACCCTGATAGGAACTTCCTGTTCGTGGACTACAGGTCCTTTTTATACAAGCTAATCCGGTAGTCTGTAGCAATGTTTTCAATTTTATTTACATGTTAGGGACACATAAGGAACTTTATAAAAAAAAATCTACACCTGGGTGCAACTGATTTAATACTTGGATAGAGTCCATGAGTATTATTTAAAAATTCCCCAGGAAATTTTAATATGGATTTAGGGTCAAGAACTATTGACTTATAAAGTGACTTCTTTTTTGGAGATTAAGCACAAATAATTTTCATAAATTTAAGACAGTCTCATCATTATTTCAGCAAAATTTCCATGGAATTCATCAATTATTACAAAAATTTGTGAATATGTAAGAGTATATTAATTATTTAAAAACATTTCTGATTTCTCACACAGTGATCTTTATCACATATATGGAAATAAATTTTAACAAGATATTAAATTGCACATTTAATAAAAAAGTTGAATAAATTCATCGAATGAAGATTTGTACCCCTTATGATTTATTACAAAGTTTAGAAAATTTAAATACTCTGTTATAGGACAAAAGACATTCTTTTTCTACAGCTCAGGAAATAAAGAAATCAAGGAAATAAATTACAGGTTAAATATTTATACAGTTGATACTTCTGTTATTGTGAAATAAATTTAAACAATTATGCATAAAAATTTCATATTGTTAATGTTTGTCCCTTTACATTCTTGGCATTCTTTAAGAGAAACCAATCTAGAGAACAGAAGAAAAGCTTACTATTTCAATGTGTGTTTTTGGATTAGATTTTTATAATTGATGATCACAAGGAAACCAGGCCTGGAGGACCTTCTGTGAGAATGCTTATAGTGAGAAAGAAATCTGGGTTACAAGGTCCTTTTATGTATTTTTTGTTTTTATTTTTTTGTCTTTTTTTGAGACAGGGTCTCACTATGCAGTTCAGGCTGGCCTTGAGCTCACTTTGTAGCCCAGGTCGGCCTCGAACTCACAGCAATCCTCCTGCCTCAGCCTCCCGAGTGCTGGGATTACAGGTGTGTGCCACCACACCTGGTTTACAAGGTCCTTTTAGATATAAGTATGATGTTCATTCTTATAAGAAAGATTTTTGTTTGCAAAGGTCTGTGAAGGTCTTATCTCTCAAAGCACCTCAAAAGATGTCTTGCAATTTCTGGTTTCATAGCTTTATTTTTTTTCCAAAAATTTTCCCACCACTGAACAACAAAATGTAATGACCAGCTTCTCAAGCTTTGACTGGAAGTTATACTTGTGGTCTGTCTTATATTTGTTCTCCTGCACTGTAGACATGTCTTCTTTTCTATAGCTTAATTTGAATGTAATATGCCCCTGTGTGTTGTGTGTGTGTACACTTCTCCTATTTGGAGTTTGTAGAGTCACTTGAGTCCGTCCTTTACAATTTTCATCCAATATGGAACATTTTCAGCCATAGTTTTTAAAAAAATATTTTCTCTTTGTGAAATTTTAATTAAATGTGTCTGATACTGTCTCACAGGTCACTAACACTGTTAATTTTTTCCAGTATTTTTTCTTCCAGTACTTCAGTTCATATAATTTCTACTGCTATGTCTTTAAGTATGTGTATTTTTTCCTGCCTCTGCTATGATTATATTAAGCCCCTCCAGTAAAAATTTCCATTTCAAACATTGTGTTTTTCATATCTACAAGGTCTACTTGGTTCTTTAAAAAAACTTTCATTTTTTACTTTAGTTCTTTGAAAAATATGTATAAAATGGTTTTACATTCTTTGTCTATTAATTCCATCACCTCTACCATTTCCATGTCTGATTATATTGACTAATTTTTCCTGGCTATGGGTCTTATTTTCCTGCTTTTTTATATATCTAGTGAATTCTGATGAAATGTTGAACATTATCTTACTGCATTTCTAGAGTTTATAGCTTGAAAAAAGTTTATTTTTTAGAGGCAAATGCATCATTTTCAGCTTTTTTGAGGTTTATCTAAATAGTATGTATAGGTAGGACTCCTAGGAAGATCAGGAGGCTTACCTAATTATTTCCCCTTTTCAAGATCATCCTGTGCTACATATGTCCAATGTCTAAAAACAGTTGTTTCAAATGTTATCTTCAGAATTATGGTTGTTTTGGTAAGAAGTGGAATTTAACTGCCAGCAGAAATCTCCTGTTTTGATTTCTTAGCCTTGCCACTATTGACTAGTTGTTGGATCAATCAGGCCAATTTAATCTTGTTATTGACTATTAAGAATTTCATAAGTGGGTATAATTATTAATGAAAATTTAAGTATAGGAACATGTAGGAAAGTCAGCTGAAATCTACACTCATTTTGGAAAAAATAACAGTGAATTCTCTAGAAGAAACAGACCAGAAACATCATTTGTAACTAATTCTGCCATGTTTCAATTAACCTAATAACCTGTTTTTATATTACAGGCTCTAATAATGATACTTGTATTACACTGTACTTTTAAATAGCTTTCATGTTTATCAGAAAATAACATTAATAAAGCATAAGCTTTTGAAATAGAAGGGATAGATAAAGAACCAGAGAAACAATACACAAGCAAGGAAAAAAATGAAAAGCTTTTTCTCTAGTATCTATGTTGCATGTACTGATTCATCCATATATATATATATATATTTTTTTTTTTTTTCTTTTTTTTTTGTCTTTTCAAGACAGGGTCTCGCTATGCAGTTCAGGATGGCCTTGAGCTCACTTTGTAGTCCAAGCTGGTCTCGAACTCACAACAATCCTCCTGCCTCAGCCTCCTCAGTGCTGTGATTACAGGCATGCACCACCATGCCTGGCCACATACTTTCTTTTCTGGTCTGCTCTTAGCTAGTAACATATATTTCTTTAGTGAATACTGAAAAGTGGAGAAGAAGTATTACTAGAAATTAAAATGTTAGTAACATAGTTGCATACTTGCAAACTGCTTAAATGCTGATCTTCTAGGAGTTTCTGAGTTTCCTCCAGCTTGAGCTGGAACACATTTTTGTTTGTAGCTAGGTCCGCCACATTGTTTTCCTTCATTTCTGTATCCCAGTTGATTTTGGAGAAGAGACGTTTATGATGCCTGTGATCATTTTTTGACAACGCTGAAGGCAAAGCGGAATCTACAGCTCTGCGAACCAGACATAAAAAATGTAGTACTTTTAATTAAAATTAACTGATTTCTATAAATGTAAAAATGACACATCTGTATGTCCACATAATAACATATAAGGATATTGGAGAAATATGTAGATATAGTAGTAATATATACTACAGTAACTTAAAGCAATCAAAAGTAGGGTAAAAATTGTTGTGAGATTATAGAACCAGTAAAGAACTCCACCTTTACATAAGAGTGCCCAGTTAGTCATGGCTTTGACTGTTATATCCTGTTCTTCTCTCATTTGGAATAGGGATAAACAATTCCTGCACATGTGCGGAGGCAGTCTTCAGTTTCTTATACACATTCCTATGTGGATAATAATATTCTGCATTACCCTTTTTTCTGAGTTGATGTCATGGGTAATAGGTATGTCTATAACCTAAAGAAAGTTGGTTACAGATTCAGGCACACAGAAACTATGGAACTGCTCATCAGGACAGGTTGGAACTTCCTCTCCACTTAACTAGGTTTGGAAGCTTGGTTCTGATTCAGTGAAGAGTGTACACATTTGTTTTAGTTTGTTTTAAGAATATAATCAGGAATATAAGCATGGTTTTCATGCTACAGCACGAGTATCTTTGATATCTACTGTTAGTGTGCCAAAATGTCCCTAGAACATCATCGTCTTCTATTTAGAATTTTGTATTATCTGCAGACCTATAATATGTTGATTTCAGCTTATATACAAATAACAAATGAAGAACTAAGGGAAGATTTGTTCGAGGTGGGATGAGAATGAGGATATCATACAGCTGACTGCTGGCTGCACTAGGGCCGGTGGTATGAGTTTCAAGGCCACTTACTCCCAATTCAGTTAAATTTTTCCCAATTCAGTGAGAACAAAAATGCTTGGAGGGTGACACATGGCCACATGTGCTATATACCTATCTCCAATACCCATACATATCTTTATTTGGACAGACTCCAGTAGTCAAGGTTAATGATTATTGATGGTTATTAGATCACTAACTACCTCCCTATCACCTCAGGGAGATCAGCGGGAGCAAGAATGCACATAACACAAGCTCCTGGACACTGAGGGCGTGTTTCTGTACCTTCCTTTTCCACTCCCCTGCTCTTACACCATCCTTCCCCTTCGGTCACCCTTCCCAAGTAAAACAAAGCTAAATCTACAACGTAGCTAATAAACTCAATTATTTACCTTTAAGGTTGTCGTCTCTCAACTTTTTCTTCGCTATTCCTTTCTTCTCTACTCCACTTTCTTCTCTTCTCTTCTCTACTTTCTTCCCCCAGGGAGGAGGATCAAAAGAATGGATAAAAGGAGACGGGGAGACAGAAGCAGAGGGAGAGGGAAGCACAGCGGGGAAGGAAGAAGAAATCATACAGGAAGCAGAAGCAGGAGAAACTGGAGAGGGAAAAGCTAAGTAAGTTGGAGGCAAATATGGAGAAGGAGAGGAATGCACAGGAGAAGGCCAGAGGGGGCCGGGTGTGGGGTGGAGAGGTGGAGAGGCAGAAGAGGAGGGCGCGCAGAGAGCGGGGGAGGAGGAAGAAAACGTTACAGACGGCGAAGAGGAGGGTGCAGAAGAAGGAGACGCAGGGCAAGAAGACGGAGAGCGACAGGGAGACGCAGGGGACAGAGCTGAGGCAGGCTCAGGGTCCACGAAGGCCTGGCGCTTACTTGACAGTGTGGCTCGTGAAAGAGACTGCTGCACTGACTGGAAAAGGTCCAGTCTACCAGGAGGCTCAGGCAGTGCAGCAGTATCCGAGAGACTGGGGACTGGCCGATGGGGATGACCGGATAAGCAAGAAGGCTTCAAGGCAGGGAGGACTTCCCAAGGAGCTGGGGAAACACGCAGCGGGGCTGGAAGGGACCGGCGAGTGAGGGCAGGCCTAAGAGCAGCTGGGGTGGAACGCTGTGCTGCAAGGAAGTGTGTGGGTCTGCAAGTTCTATAAAGTAACTTAGTCTGTGAGTCAGGATCACGAATAAGTAGAGAATTTCGGGATGGATGGGGTCGGTGATCAGGTGGGCCCGAAGGAACGGGGGCTGGCAGGCGAGGGAAATTGCTAGAAACGACAGAAGTAGCTGGGGCAGGAGGGCGGGGAGGATATTTGATTGGGTGTGACAAGGTCTCTGAGAGGACAGAGGGGACAGAAGGCAGAGGCGGGGGCTGCCGGGTGGGAGACAGAGTGGGGCAGCTGGGAGGGATTTGGGAGTGGTGGGACAGTAGCGGGGCCCGTGAAGAAGACAGCTTGTCAGCTAAGTAGGGATCAGGTGTGGAGACAGCTGGACAGGCAGGAATGGATCTGCACGGTGGAAAAGCATTTGGACAGGTGGGTAGCAACAGCCTCATTCAGATTTGTTTTTTGGATTTATTGGATTGTCTCTGGACTCCCGATTCGTGTTATTTTTTGTTCTGAGGGTCCATGCATGATCTTCCACTGATCAGCCAGGGTGCTCTCACCGTAACAGAAAAATGTATGTGGCTAACTGAGGTTCCCTTTTATTTATTCCTGTTTCTTAGTTTTAGAAGTCTGTTAGAACATAGATACTTGAATTTGGGCTGAAAAATTTGGTGTAAAACATGGTACAAAGGGCAAGTAGAGGTCAAACAGACAACTGCTCAGCTCTAGCCAGACTTTCCGGGGCAGCACGCGGCCAGAATCGAAAATACGCGGCCAGCTGCCTCACCGAAAATACATGGATATTGGAGATAGCTATCTAACAATGTTATTGTACAAAAGAACTAGTAGTATTTGATATAGGGGAGAATGTACCCTTTTTTACCCTCAACCTACCAGAAGGGTCAGGAAGATGCGTTCTGTGATAAGAATTTGGTTGTGATGGAAGGCTGATTACCTATTGTATTTTTAATGTTAGTCCTTTACTATTATTTTTATATTTTCTTTTGTTTGGAAACAGCTTCTATGGTCATCAGAATATATTCTTCGGTCTTCCCTAAGGCTTAAGCATAAATGCTCTCGACTTTTTCATAGTTTTTTTTTGTTTTAGATGATCACATTACCAATATGTGAAGCTATATTACCTACTACTAACATTTTCCACATTAGAATGCTTTTTCATGAGTACTGATACACCTCTGCTTCTTTAGAAACTCCATTTCTTGGTGTTATTTTATTAATGCATTTTAGGTTTATATTTCATTGAGAATGTATTTTAATGCAATAATATTTATTTTAATGCAATAATATTAATGTTGGTAATAATTATATTTGCAATAAGTATATATTTTGCAATTAAGCATATCTTAATTATCCAACACTTGATTCTTAATAATCAACATCTTATATTTGTATGGCATTTATAGTTTACAAAATATTTTCATACACATCATTTACTACTATTCATTATCTATGGAGAGAAATGCAACTTGTAAATAATGAAACTACTGTTCTCTTTTTAAATTGTATACATTTTTGTTTTCCAAATGCATGTTTCTGATATATATACACACAGAAATAGATATAAATATCATACAATCGGTCATAATAGTGTGTTACAATAATGTGAAACCTAGGTATTCCAGTGCAGATTGAAGGGCACTTTCCAGAAAACAAAGATGATGTAGATTTAGTGACCCTAGCGCAGATTTGCTGTCATGATAGCTGTTAGTTTGATATTTTAACTCTCCTAGGACCTTACGCAGCTGCACATAGTTGAACAAACAAGTCTATGCTTTCATTTACTGCATAAAAGAGACGTTTCTAAAACTGAAAATATCTGATTAACACAAGGTGAACAATGGAGAGACAGAAAAATCTAAGATGGAGAACCCCTGTACAAAAATGCGTATTACTTCTATACTACGTTGTTCTGAATTTTCAGCTCAGCCTCAGTTTGCCCCGAGCCTCAGGGCCCCCGCTGTAACTGCTTGTCGGTTTAGACAAGCGTTTCCATGAAGCAGCCTCACTTACACCGCCTGCACTGCCTGAACTTCCACCCGCTCCTTACTGCACTGCTCCTCGCCTCCACCTGAACGCACTGCTCTGCTTGCTGTAATCGTGAGCTTTCCTGTTGTTGGACACAGTCCCCGGCGCTCACGACTTAAAGGAGGGAAGGTTCAGTGTAGCCCGGTGGGGTGGGGGGATTCGGTTCATAGTCAGCTGGCTGGAACACCGTGGCAGAAGGACACGGCAGAGCAAAGCTTCTTATTTCCTGGCATCCAGGGTGCACGGCACGAGAACAGAGCCAGAAAGGCACAGGCGAGGAACCGTGCACAGCACCCAAGGCCTTGCCTCCACGACCCACCCAGACACAGCCTGGAGCGTGCTCTGTTAACCTGCTACACATTTCTTAATCCGAAGAAGGTGACATGTGATGATTAATGGTCAAACTTGCAATTAACTAATAATTGCAAAAATGCATAGTATCTGTGTCTGCCTGCTTGCCTACCTGCCTGCCTGCCCGCCTACCTATTTGTTTTGTGGTAGGAGGGATTAAATCCAGGGGTTTCACAATGAACTAACTCCCCATCTGTTTTTAAATTTTGCGACAAGTTTTCATTCAATTGCTAAATTGCCTAGGCTGGGCTCAAAATTACGATCCTCTTTCCTCAGCTTCCCAGGGTGCTGGGATTACCGGTGAGTGACACCAAGCCCAGCTCCTCCCAAACAGCTCTTCCAAGTTATCACAGGAGATGGAAGGAGGGACCAGACGGGAGAGAAAGGGGAAGCGAAAAGCATTCAGATGTGTTAGGTACACGTGCCAACCCTCCTTGATGAACATAATTGTTACGTACTACAGATATGTACTAATAAAAATTAAAAAAATTTAAAAAAGATGAAGTCATCTTTTTTATTACCGAAGTACCACTTTACTTAATTTTTCATAGTTTTAGACTGACTCTACTTTTCCCCCACTCTGGCAATATTTCTAAAGTATGTGTGCTTGCTTTAAATCTTTCACTAACTGTTTATACAACGAACTCTTTAACAAGCTCTTCGTGGTTTGCCTCACGTGGTTTGCCCCCCTTTCTAACCTACGTGCCCACAACTCTCTTCCGCGTGCACTCAGGCCAAGCTGGATCACGGGACGTTCTCCTAGGACAGCAGGGCCTTCCACGCCTCTTTATGCATGTAACGATTCCTTACGTGCCAAGCTTCCTCCCAATTGTCTCTCATAACCCCAGAGGCCAGGAGGGCTGCAACCGGCAAGACTGTCAGGGCAAGGCCAGCCACGCCCTTCCCAGTTTACATCACACGGTAGTCCGCCCCGGGCACTGAACACGGAGCTACAGGATGTCATGTGTTTCCCGATGGGTTGAAGTCATACTCTGACCTCATTTCTTTCTATTCCCATTTGTTCCCTTCGCAGTGGCAATGTCCATTATGTCAGCAGTGTTTGTTTATTTATTTATTTATTTTTGATTTTTTTTACTCAGGCTCACAGCTGAGTTTGCCTTGGTCTCAGAGGAGCCTTTGGACCTGGACATTCTGGCAAAGCTGTCCTCCTTTACATTTTGAGTGTTGGGTATTCTATTCCAGTGATGAGAAGGTGATTAAAATACTTGTTACATACCTTTTTGCAGTGCTGGAGACTGAACCCAGGACATAGGGTAGACAAGTACCATGAACTACATCCTAGCCCTACCTTTTTATTATTTGTCAAATCTACTTCTCTTCCCTAAATCATAATAGTGTTATTCTGATTTAGGCAGTCATGACATATCTCCTGTATTACCCCAGTAATTTCCTCTCTGGTCTCCTGGCTTCCAAATTCTATTTATTCTATTCTCTGTCATTTATACCATTTATCTCTTTAAAGTTATCAAGAGGATATCATTCCTGAATTAAAATCTTCATTGTCTCCCCATTTTACAGGATGAAATTCAAACTCCTTGACTAAATGTATAAAGTCAACTATGATTCCAATTAATATTTCCAGATCATCTTCTGTCCTACTAGCAATGCAACTTATCATCCTGCCACTCTAAACAGGATCCATTTCCTTCAGGGTCTGTGTCTCTTATAACACTTAACTTATACATTCCTAAAACCCAATTCATGCTTCTTTACTAGACAATTCCTTCTTATTCATCCATTACAATTTTCTAATTTTTTGTGTTTCTTTATTACTTTGTTAATAATTCTGTAACAGCTCCCAGTATACAGTATTACCTATGAGCTCTAATGTAACTACCACTACGCAGGCTTATCATGTAACTGCAGACCCTTCTAGGGCAGAGAACAATATCTCATTCATAAGTGCAAGCCATGCTATTCAATGTATAGTGCAGAGTATGTACTGGACTCATTTCATATTTTTTATCCTACTTGACCTTTCTAGATTGCAGTTCTGTTACTTATCACTTTGACATTCATGTTTAAACAGGGTAGATCTCTCTCAGTGTAAAGGAAAAGGCTGTATTCATCCCTATATTCATTATTTCTTCTGGTTATTGTCTTGTGACTCTTTTATGTTTACAGGCAAGCTACATGTAATCTTTCTTCCCTTTTCTTTCAACTCATTGCAGTCTATCTTCTGCCCCTTCCACTCCACTGAAATTGCTGTCAAACGCTGTCAGTGACTTTTTTGTTGTGAGATATAGTGAACCCTCTGCTTCTTTCTGGATATTCTCTCTGCTTCCCCAGATTCACTTTCTACACGCTCCTACTCAGCTGCACTCTACAGAGGCTAAAGGCGAACGTGCTTTCAGACTCATGGCTGAGTTTGGCTAATGAACGACACCAGCAGGAGGCAGGGCGGTGACAGAAGCAGCTTTTGGCACTTGTTCCTCTGGTTTCCTCCCTGCAGCGCTTGGCTCAGCAATGGCTACACTCCTCTAGCTCTTTCTCAGCCCTCTTCCACACTACGACTCCTTTTAATTCAGGTGCGTGCTGGTCACGCTGACTTTGCTGACAGTTCTGGAGGGCTTCACAATACTTTGTTGCATTCACAGACACTTTATTAGCATCTTATCAATCTTTTTAAATTTGCCTCCTGTTTCCTGCCAGGATCCTGACGGACATGACCTTTTATGTTAGTAATTCACTGATTCTTTAGAAGTCATTTGATCTCTGCAAACTACTTCTTTTCCAGGAAGCTTGATCCTTCCTTAGCTTCCATGCTACCACCCTCTTCTAAGCTTATGTCAGTAATCCCAGCTTTCGATTTGCAGGTGTCTCCTTCTGTACCTCTTTAAAATTGTTCTCCAGTGCTCATCACAGGACATGTTCTCAGTGGCTGACCGCGTCCACTGCCATTTCTCTTGAGTTCTAGATAATATAATTTCTACATTTATTACAATAGTCTTTTCTTTCAATGCATTACCCACAAAACTGCTCAATGGACTGGATGGATATGTTTTAAAAGTTTGGATCTTACTTATCTGCTTGAAATCCTCTTAAACTCTAGGATAAAGTTTATATTCCTTAACATATATAGATGCGTTTATCTCTACAGCCTCACCTGTACGCAAGCTGTTACTACTCTGCATTCTATGATTTAACCCAATCGTCACTCTTGTAATATAGGATGCCTGCCACTGTCCTTGGCCTTGTACATGCTCGTCACTCTGGCAGGCCATCCACCCAGCTTCTCCATCAGTACCAGCATGTTCTCCAGAGCTCTGCTAAGGAATAGTTCTCTTACTTCATGAGTTCTTTCCTGAACTCTACTGAAAACCGAAAGGATGCATTTATTTTCTCTTATCCCTAATAAAAAGAATTACTGACCAAAGGTACTCTAAAAACGGAATAATGTATGCACAGGTAAAATATGAACATAATTTATTCTGTGAACTCCTGATATCTTTATAAAAGTAAATGCGAAATATTATCATTGCTTAATTGATATTATTCTATATTTTTGAAGCATTATTTTATACACTAGGGATTATATAATAGTATACTTTTCCACATCCCCTTACAAAGCTTGATCTAGTTCTTGTATATAGTAATGTACAAATAAATATATAATAAATAACAAATAAATAACTGATAAATATATAGAATAAATAAATGAAAAATACAGAATGTTAGAGGGTATACAGCACTTGGTTGATCCATCCTATTGCTTCTAAGTGACTCACTTATGCACTTTGGAATAGAATTAGGAGTTGCTTTAGCCTTCCTAGGAAATTTAGGACAAACTTTCCCAGTGAGGAGGAAAAACCCTTTTCTTATGTAAAATTACTCTTTTTAACCTGAGTTTATATCACTCTAATTCAACTTTCTCTTCTCAGTAACAATAAAAGCCAACATTGAGATATTAAAATTGTTTTGATGAGCATTTCCATAGAAAATTATTCAACATAGGAAGTAGTTTTAGTATCCAAAACTTTTTCAGATAGCAAATTAGAATTCTGACTTTACCTCAACTTAGTCTGTGAAAATAAACTCTAGAACATAAGTGAGAAGTAACTGATGAAAAGCCCACAAATTTAGCAACGAGAAATTACTATATACAAATAATTATACATAGTAATTATAAATTACCTCCAATTCATTGTTGGTCTGTGGGAAAAGGGAAGGTGTACTTCTGATTTCAAGTCGGATTCTTGAATTTGTTTGAGGGCCTCTTCTAAGGGAGGAACTGGTTTGTGAAAAACTGAGATGATCACAAAGAAAGATTGAACAGTAAAGAATTACTTGGTTGTCAATGGTCTATTTATAATTTAGTTGATCAATGGATAAAATATTACTTTAAAACACTTGTAGAAAGAAACTATTTTACAACAGTATAAATATTAAAATTTTGACACCTAATTTTCAAAGATAAACTATTTCTTAGAAATTTTCATCACTAATTTTAATAATTACCTGAAAAAAAAGAAACTTTGAGAAATGTCCAGGCTCTATACTCGTTAATATAGACCCCTCTATATTTGACCTCATAGTCCCATAAATTTCTGACAAAATTGATAAATATTCCTATGAATAAAAGGGGAAACATAAACTAAATTTATTGAAGATTCACTGTTATGTCTTATTTTTAACATTTTATATGTACTGTGTTAACTAATAATCTTCACTATGGTTTATGAGCAGATGCTATTTGAATTTTACAGCTACGAAGACCAAGATACAGGGAAGCCAAGTAACGTGTTCAAGCTCTTGAACGAGTCTGGACATTTATGCACACACTGCTCTGTACCATCTTTAACCCAACTCTGCCTCATCACATCATCCTTAAGAATAAAGGATACACACATCCTTGGATTCTTATTCTCTGCTCTTGCAAGTATGGAGGGTGATTAAAATACGTTCAGGGAAGTTCACTTATCTTAAATACCTTTAATTTCAAAATGCCCATTTTTAACATCAGGCTATTCAACAGGCGATTAATTTCATGCTGGAAACTGAGAATAATAATTAGAAGAGTCGATGTTGCTATGGTGTGAATGTTTGTGCCTGTTTCAAAAGTCTTATGTTGAAACCCTGACCCCTAAAATCTCTGATGTCTCCAGGAACCATTTCAGTAATTTAAAACACTGCTTTAATATATTTGATACATTTACATCCTATATCTCTTTTATATGCAGTTGGTAACGGATAGCCATGTACATAGATATACATTTAGAAGTCTTGCTCTCTAGTCATATGACTATATGTATACTTGACCATATAGTTGGCCTCACTGTTTTTTTGTTTGCTTTTGTGTTCGTTTTCTGAGACAGGGTCTCACTATGCAGTTCAGGATGGTCTTGAACTCTTGGTGATTCTCCTGCCTCAGCCTCCCAAGTACTAGGATTGCAAGTGTGTACCGCCACACCCGGCCTGTCCTCACTGCTGCTATATGCTCCTCTTATCTGTGATAACTTTTTGTTTTCTTTTTCTTTGGCAAAGATTCAATTAAAATACTTTTTCCCAGGGATAATATACCTGATGTCTCTACATATGTTTAGTGTTCCTCTCTCTATGCGCTCACAATATTTTACACATTCTGCTACCATACCAAATTAGCATATTATCAACATTCTATTACTCTCATCTCCAAAATAGTCTATGAAATGTTTAATTGCGGAATACAGTGCGACTGTATGTCAGCTTAGTCCAGGGCTAAGCACAGGCTAGTGTGTGATAGCATAAGATGGCTGAAAGCAAAAGGGTCTGCCTATTTTATGCAGCCTAGATGCTAACCGACGCTAGCATCCGTCTTACTGTTGCAGGTGCGTGTGGATGTGACACCAAAGAGTTAGTCATAATCATATTGAATTCCTAGTTGGTTATCCGTCTTTGACCGTTGGATTATGTTACTTTCAAAACTTTTTTTCTGCTAGTCTCTCAAATAAGAATTTGAACCAAACTATGGATACAATGCCAGAATGAATGTGACATTAATTTCCTGAACTCAAATGTTAAGTTTTTGTTGAGTGACTTAATCAGTTTTAAAAAGATGAAACTGTAAGACACTGTGAAGTTGAATCAAACTTGTAAGCTAGTAATAGATGCAACAAAATATTCTCTACTTAAACCTAAATAAAATTACTATTTTTTATTTGGTTAAAGTCCTATTTCATCAAAAAGCATGCTGGTCTTTTTAGCTCTGGTTTGTATTTTATTTCTTCATTTATCATTTTATTGTCAAGTCAAACGTGACTGTAACTTTAATATTGTTCTCATATTGTTCTAAACTTAAGGTACCTGCTCTCCTCCGCTGTGAGAGAGGAACATGGGCACGCTGGAATTTCTCAGTGACTTCTTCGAACTTCTGTTTTCTTTGTTGAAGTATTTGTTCCCTAATTTGGTGCTCCCTTTCTTCATGTTCTTTCCGTTTTTCTTCAAAAGCTCTATATTTAAAACAAACAACAGAAATAGGCAATAAATTAAAAAAACCAGAAGAAATAGTTTTAAAACAATGCCCTTTATTGTACTGTTTTCATAGTTCAAACTTTTACTCAGAAAGAACAAATCTTGTATTTTTAAAAAACTATGCTGGATAAGAATTTAAATATATTTGTAAGTGGTAATTTCAAAGCCTCGTCCACATCTTCTGCAGGTAAAAGCAGGCTCTGTAGTGAGGCCACTTCTAATTTCTGGCAGGCCTGTAACCTGCTCCCACTTCCTAAGCTTTCCTGTGGAAAGATGTTTTTCTAAGGGCTATGCTACTTCTGGTAATGGAGAGAACTAGTGCATTAGTGAAAGAAGCAGCCTTGTAAAATATAGGGCAGGGGCCAGGTATGGTGATGCACTCTGGGAAGCTGAAGTAGGAAGATCGTAAGTTTGAGCCCAGTCTCCTCAACTTAGAGAGGCCTTGTCTTAAAAAAAAAAAAAAAAAAAAAAGGAAAAGAAAAGGAAGACAAAAGAGCTGGAGCTATAGTTCAGTGTGAAGGCCCTGGCTTCAGTTCCTAGTACCAAAAACAAAAAAAGTCAAGGAAATACAGCATATACTTTTTTCCTTTTAGACCAAAAATTTAAAACTGGCTGTCACACTAAGTCTGAACTGTGCTAAAAATCCAGATAAATTGGAAGATCTGATAACCCTGAACTCTTCCATCATACATGGTTACAAAAACACTGTAATACTTATTTTTCTTAACTTTCTTGTTTTACTTACTTGTTTGTCTTTAGGCACTTGGGTGTATGCTCTGCAGGAAGCTATACTCTCTCAGTTTTGCTCTCTGAAGATGTGTGTGTGCATGTATACTATTCAAAAAATAATTTGCTAGCAAAGAAGGCACTGCTAAACTCACTGGTAAAGAAGCCTCTGATGGGACTTCCTTGCAATGCATAAGTTGAGGAATGGTTGACAAGAAGTCTGTTAAGATTTCTGGCGCAGTGAGTTACTACTATTAATCATTCTTCTAAAAATGTCCTCTGGCTGGATCATTATTCTAGCCGAAATAATTCAGATGTAGGGTACTAAGCTTTTGGGTAGTACGGCTATGTATTTTCAAGAAGTTTAAGTAGTGGGAGGTAGTGGTATAGTGCCACAGGTAGGGAAAAAGATTTTTACTCATCAGAACAATGTCCTTTAACAACCCCTCCAAGTCAAGGAGCTGCTTTTACTTTTTGATTCAACATAGTGCTGGGACTCTTGTCCACAGAAATTAGGCCAAAAAAAAGAAACAAAAGGCATCTAAATTGGAAATAAAAATAAATTTTCTTTTTTTCCCCATTGTGCCAGAAATCAAATCCAGGACCTTGTCCATGCAGGCAAGTGCTCTACCACAGGGCAGGCTGCCAGAGCAAAGAATCATCTCTTTCAAAACGTCAACAGTAACACTGCTGCAAATTTCCGTACAATGCTACTGTAATCAAGTTAGTGCAGTATTGTTGTAATTGTTTACATAAAACTAATTGCTCCTGGCATAAGGGTAAACAGACCAACTGAATAGAATACGGATCACAGAGGCAGACCATCAATATACAAACTGACTTTTTTTTAAAAGGTGAAAAACCACCAGAGAAGGAAAGAAACTTATTTTTCAACTTATGTCTCAGCACCATTTGTTGAAAAGTAGATCAGCACCAATTGTTATGAGGAGTACAAACTTTATAAACTTTGAAAGACTCGTAGTCCATGAGCCATCAGGAAAGTATAAGTTAAAACCATTTTGTACTTTTTATATAATAAAAATTCAAAGTCTGGGAAAGTTATGAAGTCAGTGGGATTCACATACATAGCTGGTGGGTATGTAAAAAGGTCAGCTCCTTCACAAACCTGTGTGATAACTTCTTACATAGTTAAACTTAGGTATACTCTAAGACTCAGTAATTCCACATTTAGTTACGCACTCAGAAAAATGAAACATGCCTATTTCCTACTTATGGACTCTCTCATATTTGACCATTTTGGTTTGAATTATATTTCAGCCAATGGTTTTATTACTAGCTTCCAACTAGAACAACTCACTGTCCATTAATAGAATGGATTAACAAATTATGGCATAGGTTTATAATGAAATACCACTCAGCAGTGAAAAAATAAAACATTGATAAATGTAATGACATGGATGAATTTCAACATTAAGTGAAAGAACTCAGAAACAAAGATGGGCAGGTAAAACTAATAGAAATTAAACAATGGCTGCTATAAGGGTAGAACCTGCTCACAAGAGGTTTGAGTGTATATAAAAAAGAATGAATATGAGAGATCATGGAGTGAAAAGCTCAGGTCTTTTTTCTCTCTTTTTTTTTTTTTAAAGACAGGGTCTCACTTTGTAGTTCAGGTTGGCCTCAAATTCAGGATGATGCTCCTGTCTGTTGAAAAGACAGGCTACAGATCAGGGGATGAGGGACCTGAAGTTCAGACTTAGGAGGCAGAAGGGTAACTTGCAATACCCGGGGTGAAGTACAATGGAAAGAATGAAGCTCAGGTGAATGACAGGTCACCAGTGAAGACACTGGAATTACTCAGAACAGTCACTTGACTAGTGGTAGAAGACAAAGAGGTGTTCAAGCTTCCAAGGAATAACAGAGAGAACGTCGAGGCGACTGTAGTACGAAGGGGGAGTCCTGAGCAGCGTATTTTGATGGCTTGTGTTTCAAAAGAGCAGAGGTTTTAGAGAAGAGAGAGGTAAATGGTCTGAAGTGGCAGTGAGGTGCAACGGTGACACCCCACAACTCATTTTTGTATCCACGAGTCTCTTCATGCTTTGACAGGACCACCCTCTACCTTCCCCTGCATCCTCCGTCAAGAGAAAAAGCAGAAGCTGTAGTAGGACGCTTGTCACATACCTAACAATTTACTTACGTCAACATTTACCAGAGACAGTGAAGCGAGAGGACCTGCTTTATTTACGTAAGGTAAACAAGGAAGTGTCTCTGGTTGTATGACATTTACACTGAACATTTCAGGTACAGAGGCCACTCATGAAAATGTGAGGAAAAGGGTGCTTTAGACAGAAGAAACATGCGGACACCCCAAGTTGGGGAAAAGGAAAGTCATTAGCACACCTGAGAAATTGAGAAAATACTACCAATTCATGAAAGTTTGGCAGTGAGGAATGATAGATTCTGAAGTTAAGAGGTGGTTATTTCCTTGTTACACTCAAAACTTTTTGCGTGTATGTGTGATACTGGGGATTGAAGCGGGCTCATCTGAACTCTAGTCCAGCCCATTTAATTAACTAATTAACTAAGGTGGCCTTGGGGATTGAACACAGGGCCTTTACACTGAGCTATATCTGCAGTGTTTTAAACATTTTTTAAAATTTTGAGACAAATTCTTGTTAAATTGCCCATGCTTGCAAACTTGGAATCCTCCTTCCTCAGCCTCCAAAAGTGCTGGGACTATAGGTGTATGTCTCAAAGCCCGGCTGCAAAGTCATGTTTGATAGCAAATTAACATCACTATCATTTCATATTGCTCCACAATGGTTCTGTTCTATGGACTAATGTATACATTTCTAGGACCATGGATATAAAGTCTGTCCTAAGTTGAGTCAAATTAAACACCATGAAATTTGGCTGACAAGCAGACTGTTCTATTCCCGAACTCAATGATATGCTCAATAATAAAAAGCTTATCAATGAATTATAGTGATCATTGCTAGTGTACCTTCCTTAATGAGCTGCCGAATTTCTTTTGTACTATTATGTGCTAGGCACGGTGGTAAGTGCTGTGGGAACAGCAGGAACTGTCAATAAAAAGGAGAAAGATGTTCTTTACCACTGCACAAGTTGGAGGAGTATGTTGCCACTTCGCCTGAATCCTGGAACTAGCTTCTTTTGCAAAACAAACAGGGTCTGCTTCGACAACTTTGGAAAGGTCTGTTCAATATGTGCAGTTCTGCCTCATGAAAGATGCAGAGCACCTCGGCTCACAGTGAAATACTGAATGACAGCCATATGCTACTTGTTTGTTTCATTTTCCCTGGAATTTACAACTATGGAGCACCCTTTTCTTCTGATGGGAAATGGTCTTACAAGTGAAAAACAACCCTCATGGCAATATATTTCTTTAACAGCAGAAGCTAAGGGGTAGTATTAAGAGAACCTAAGATCCTGACAGACACTTGTAGAACTAGAGAGCCTGCCTTCTGTGATGGATTTCTCTTTTCTAAATGAAGCTACAGTTCAATTTAGGTAGTTACAACTTTCTAGAAGTACAAAAATATTTAACACCCAACCATATTTTGAGATATTAAAGAAATAAAAAATCAAGGATAAGTATCGTCCCTCCAAATTGGAGAAAAAATAGTTTTTAGAAATAAAAACATCAAATGATAATACCAACAGCCCAGAAAACATAAAACAAGACCAAAGAATTTTGATTTTCATTATTTTATATCGTTTCATTATTTTATAATGAAATAATAATAATAATGTTTCATTATTTTATATTGTTTTCATTATTTCACAAAGAAATTTGTGTCTTAGCCTATTAGTTTTTTTTTTTTTTTTTTTTTGTACCAGGAATTGAACTCACGACCTCACGCTGGCCAGGCAGCTGCCTGTGCCACCAAGCCATATTCCTGGCCCTCCCCTATTAGTTTTGTGCCACCAGAAGTGGAGAAGGGTTCCTTCTTCCCCACAGCCCCCTCCCCCCCGAGCATTTGTTATCGGTTGATTTCTTAATGATAGTGAGGCTACTTACTGTAGACTTAAAAAAGTGTAATAGGCTTAAGGGCAATATGACAATGGAGTAGAATAGCTGATGCTCATAATAATGGCTCTAGGGCATTAGTAAAAGATCAAAGCACACATTGTAATCTGTATAAAAGAGCACCAAATTTTTATACATATTTTAGAAAGATTTACAATAACATGTTAAAATAATTCTCATAATCTGTAAGTATTCCATTTCTGAGTTTTCTTCATGTACCCCCTATATAATTGATCCTGACTCCTACTGACTTAACCCCAACTGGCTTAGCTCAAAACAGCTTTCTACTACTTGCCTGCACTTTGCCCTTTCCCTTTTCCTCTAACCTTTCACTGTAACCAGGTAAAATATAAAGTGGATCATCGTATTTCTCTAAGACTCCTTCACTAGAATCCAAGAATAACTTCTTCAGACCCAGGACAAACTCTTTAATTTCTTTAGGTTGATACCCAAGTTGCTTCATGCCATGTCTCCTGCCGTGTCACAGCTTCATGTCCTAATGTTCTTCCACATTCTAAAGCGCATCAGACATATACAACTTGTCTCCTACTTTATGACATGAGGTTCTTCACACGTTGTTCTTTCTGCATGAAACCCCTTAACTCTCACGTCCCCAGACGGACTCATAGCTAATTAGTGAGACAACTTTCCCAGGAAGCCTTCTCTGTTCTGAATTTGTTTCTTTGTTCTCGGACACGCTATCATAAGGTGACTCTGTCACAGTGTTTGCTGGTCGCACTGCCACCCTCTGTTATTTCTCTATTAGTAATATGACAGCAGGAAATCGTGCCATTCATTTTTTGTCTTCCAGACACGAAAGCTTGAAAATGTTATTTGAGTGAATAAAGGACCATTATCTTTGACAATATTTTAAAAGGTCAGACATAATTTCTAAATATCCAAATTTTCTTTAAAATTGTATGGGTGCATTACCTATGAATATTTAAGCCTAATGATATTTAAACTTATTTGAATCTATTCTTTAGCTATACTATATGTTAGATGTGAGAGTTCAATAAATATGACTTATCATTTAAAGTCTAATTCCTTCTTGTCCTTTTTTTTGAGACAATCTTGCTGTGTAGCCCAGCCTAGCCTTGAACTCACAGCAATCTGCCTGTCTCAGCCTCCCTAGTGCTGGGATTACAGTCATGTACCACCACACCTGGCTTCCTTCATATCTAGTCTAAGAGTACTTTTTCATGCTTTATAGTGAACTCCAAATGCCATCATCTTCACAAACTGATAATCAGCCATTCCGTGCTTCCTGCTCACAGTGTAACTAACCTCACTGATTCTCTAGGTAATTATTTCTTTAAGAATATTTAATCTTTTTGTGGTAGACTTTAGTGACTCCTCCAAAGTGCTTGCCCTTTATCTGTTAATTGGCAGTCTTCTTCTTTGGGTGACTTTTCTAATTTGGCCTTTGTTTTTCTTATTCTGCCAGTTGGTTACATAGGTCTTCTGTCACATCATCTGAACTTCTAAGTCTATATGCTTACATTACAGTGTTCTAAAGTTATTTGAAGTCTCTTTTTGGTCTCCTTCTTAAAAATTGTTTCTTTTCTTCATGAGGTTGCTATTAAATCAGATTATTGCTATTTCCTGCAGTATGACAAAAATAAACAAATTCTTCTCCCAACATAATGGCTGACTCACTGGTACTCAATTAGATATGCATATTGAATGAATAAATTCCTAGTCACTTATTTCTCTGAAGGTAATTCTGAACGGGGGGCTGAAAACAGTGTGGGAGAAAAGCAAGCTTATTTCCTCTGTGTGGGGTAAAATTGCTTGGACTACAGGCAGCATATTAGAAAGTTCTTTTAGGATGTACTCTACCATATTAGCAATATTACAAAACAAAGGGGCACTGCAGAAGGAAAAAAATTGTGGCTCCCACTCCTAAAAGCATTAAGGGAAAGTTCCAGGATGCCAGTTATATAATGAGCCCAAAAGCAACCATACCCCTTGGAGCAGGAAGATATAAGGACAGAATCTCTGGAGGGAAATAAAGAAGATTATTGTATAAATACTGAGTGAGAGAAAACAAAACTTGAAAATGTGATGAAAGCATATAATGCAAGAGAAACATTTGTTAACAGTTGTTCAAGAAAGCAGCAAATAAGGAAATAAATGTGTGATTTTTAAGCAATTAATGGAAATAAACACAGTATTTGATTCTAAGAAGGTTTTCCTTTGACTACTGCTGGGAACACACACTGACAAACTCAAAATACAACTGAAAAATGGCAGAAGGAAACTGTCTTTACCCAAGAGAAAAGCATTTAAAAAAATTCCACGGCTACAATCCAAGTAGACAGTATAAACTCAAAAATCTGTGATCACCTTAATTTAATACCTGTCATGTGTCTTTTACAGGCTTTAGGATTCAAAAGACAGGCAAACAGCAGAAATATATATACAAAACAAAAATAAAAATAAGTTGTACTAAATAATTTCAACTATGTTGGACAAAGAAAGGGTTAAAAAGAAACATAATGTCAGAAAAAAAATTACCAGTAAACAATTCTGCATCCCCAGATGGGATTTGCAGAATATGCCCAGTGATGTAGTAAATAAACTCTTGGGATTTTCTGCTATTCGTATATGGTAGGGATATGGATACAACAGCAAAGACAACAATAAGAAGTTATGTAACTGTCTTAAAAAACTAATAATTAAAACAATCCTATAAAATGCCAAGTGGTAACTGGATAGTTTATATTTTCACTTTAGTGTTTACACTAAAAGGCTTTACTGGGGGCAGTCATTTATAAAATTGTGTTTATTACATTTCTACCACGATTCCTATTTCTCCCTATTTTTGCAATTGAATGAATGTGGCAATATAGATAAATTATGTAAGGTGAATAATAAATCAAAATCAAATTACTCTATGCTACAAATGAAGTAATAATTGCTAGTCTTTTAATTCATCAGAAAAAGAAGATAATACATTTTATGACGAGACTGCTAGAAAATATACCACTATTTTTGTGCTTTAGGCAGAAAAACAATAAAATTTTAGTGCTATGAGAATCTTGATCAGTGTTTTATGGGTAAAATATCATGTCATGATTTACATTCATGAAATACAGACGTAGAGAGAATATTAACTTATACTGGAATTTTCACACTTGGAATTTTCACACTTCTGAATAAAATACAGTTACTTACTTTTTTTTTTTAGTTACTTACTTTTTTCTCCGGTTTGATTCCACAAAATATTTACGTGCTCGATTTCGACACATTTTTTGTTGCTGCAGTAATATTTGGCGTTCTTCTTCTAAATTTTTTTCTAGATGAATTTTCATATCTCTAAAGATAGCATTAAGTTAAGAACAACAGTTTATATCTTTAGTGGGTGTCAGGACTATCTGAAAATTATAGCTTCATGCAAATGACATAATGATGTTTTTATTGAAAAATATATAGTAGTGTTAGTATATGACCAAAAGATACTTCATATAAAAATTACAACTTGGTATTAGAATTTAAGATATCTTACTTTTTTGGGGGAATAGTAAATTACTTTTAGAAATTATGAGTCCAGACAAGAAGACCACATATCTTCATTCATTGACTGATATCTGAGTACTATTTCCTGACGAGTGGCCTTCAGAGGTAAGTACATAAGAAAATGAAGGAAGGTTATAGTTTACTAACAGAAATATAGAAAGTAGATAAATTACATGCTTCAACAGATCATTTATAAAAGTCATATTCAAATATTAAAAAACCAACTAGAAATATAAGTGGAATATTTGAGAATATAGTTATTAGTGATTTACATACAGGTTATGAAAACTTCACTCAACCATGTATATTTACCTGTTTATCCAGAAGTTTTCTAGAGAAGAAACGGAATATTCCAGCTGTCCTAATCATCCATTCATTTGAAATGTATTAGACATAATTAAACTTACCTTAAATAAATTATATTGATATGGTTAATTAGGCTCCTCAAATTATGTTTTGACTGTTATTATTAAATATTTTAATCAAATTTGTCACAGTATTATCCTACTTTTTCAGGATTTTGAATTTAAAAAATGGCCACTGCAGTACCACTCAATTACTTAGTGCCTCATCACTGGATGTAGGTCCATGCGAGGTGACACTGAAATTGGGTTACAAAGCATGCTCATCTGTTGTTGTTGTTTTTTTTTAGAATAAAGAGCTGTTCAAATTTTTTTCCCAAAAATTGAGGTTTAAATTTTTTTTAAGAGATCCACTTAATTAATGCCACAAATGTGTTTTTAATGGTAATACAAACAAGAAATATATTCAACAAATTATGCTATACATGATTTGTTAACTCAAAATGTTGATTTCAGAATCCTATGGTACTTCCATATCAATATGATAAAGAAACTCTGTATTTTGAAAAAATAATATGCAAACATTTTTGGTTGAGTTTTTGTTAATGGGAGCTTACTTGTTTTCAATTACATTGCTATTTAATTGTATATCTATCATAGGTCAGAACTCATTTCACCTTCATTTTTTAATAAAATTTTGTACTACCTCAACACAAACACCCAACACACTCACATCCACAATATTTTTACTGAAAGGTGTCTTTTGATCAATTTATAAGAATGAGACAAAAAAGGAAGGAAATCTGGTTCTTCGCTAGCACAGAAATAGTTACAGGTCTCTTATTCTTCTCAACTATAACCCTCTTTTAGGAGCTAGACATCGAAAAATGATTAGCTGCCAGAAGTCATAATTCGGCAGGAAAGGAAAATGCGACTTCCTTCTTTCAGGAAACACAGGCGAACAGGGAGTGTCAAGGGTACACTGCTTTGGGTCAGGTGAGTGGTATGGGAGACGAAGCTGCAGGTAGAGACAATTCTGAGCAATGTGCTTGAGATCTCATCAAGAGAGGATAAAGAAAATCACAAAGGTAGTATTTGTAATGTTTTCACAAGTAGATATTTTAAAATTTGACAAAGTGACTCTACTATATATAATACAGATATAAAAATAATTCCTGGCTGCTGAACCATAAAAAATGTTGTTGCCTTTGCATCCTTCTAAATATGGTGTTCAAGTTTTTAAAATATTCAATAGATGGATAACTTTTGACTTTTACGAACTGTACCATAAATGTAGGGTATTTCCATAAGAAGCGCTTAAACATCTGTCCAAAAGAAAGGATTTTTTATGTACTTAATGTTAACAAAACAAAAAAAGAATGCTATTAATGTTTACCTTCAAATTTAGCCTGTCTCCAAGTAGGATGTTTAAAATATATTACTGTCACAAATAACTATACATCATACAACTTATTTTCTTGCCACGTCTACTAAAGCTGTCTTGATGCCCTTTCTCTCCTGTGTTCTTTTCCAAGGCCTTGGCTCAGGCACTCTAAATCACTTGCCTGAACTACTTCGTTAGTCTCCTAACACACTTCCTTGCTCCTAAAATGATGGCACTCTTGTTGAACCTCCACAAAGCCAGCTACACATGCAAATCGGATTTTGCTATTCTTTGTTATTCTCCAAAAGCATCCATCTTCTTGATAAATCTCAAATGCTTGGGTTTACATTTATACAGCAATCTATAATCTGGTCTGTTTTTTCAACTTCATTTTTTAACATTTATGGTTCTTCTACTATAGTAATGACTTGATAAATGTTTGCTGAAGGATTTCATTGGAGAAAATTCTCTGAGGCAGAAATAACAAGATGAAAAGTATATAGCTTTTGATGCATTAGTGAAAAACTGGCTTCTCGAGGAGTTAAAAAATGTATATGCACTTACAAATACAAGTTTTAAAACTTCATGAACATAGAATATTTTAGAAACAGGATGCAAAACTATGTTTTATTATGTGAGCATTAGCAAAATAGAATACTTTCTATGTTAATTACAAATTTTAATTTTCCTCTTTGGAAAATCATTAATTTAGGTGAATGGCAATTTATCTATTGAGAAATTGATTTCTAAAAAAGTAAGTTCAATATAGGTAGAATAATATAGATATTAATTCTCTATCAATTAATGCTAGTATCTTCTCCAGATATTTGAAGTTTTATTTAATTATACAGGTGCTCCTTAAAGTTTTAAATTAATGTTCTTTTTGAATATTTTCCTTGGAAATTACTTTTTCCCTTTAAAAGGTAAAGTTACCATATGTTTAAACAAGGAAAAATGGGAAATTTTGTGGTTTTTTTGGGTCAGTTTTTACAATTTTACATTTATATATATCCTTTTCAGCAGCTCAAATTTATTTTGGGGGGCTGGGGATTTAGCTCAGCAGCACAGCGCCTGCCTGGCAAGCGTGAGGTCTTGAGTTTGACTCCTGGTACCAGAAAAAAAAATCAAATTTATTTTGGAACGTGGAATAAAATATGACTTAGGGTAGAGATAGTGAATATAGATTACTCATTTTTAGAGTTGTAAATAAGAAACAGGTATTAGAATACAGCTAAAAAGGATCTCTTGAACAAAGAATTTGCTAATGTACCTGATTTTAAGGACTGTCAAGAACTAAACATATTTGTAGCCTACGGTAAAAGAAGGCCATGGAGAGAAATGAAAAGTTAATTATAAGAGAGGTAGAAAAGTTTGTATTTCTGAGGGAAAAGAAAGTGGACAGAAATAAGGATAAACATGGACAGATTTACTTTCTACAGTAAAAGTGGTATTTTATCAGTGAGTCTGAGGAAAAATCGAGTGGATGAGTGTGTGCATCTGTATTGTCTGTTGGAAGGGACCTAAGGGAGTTCATGGCATCTATGGTTTTCTTTTTTCTTTTGGTCTTTCTGAGATGGGGTTTCACTATGCGGTTCAGGCTGGCCTTGAGCTCACTGCGTAGCCCAGGCTGGTCTCAAACTCATAGTGATCCTCTTGCCTCAGCCTTCCAAGTGCTGGGATTACAGGCGTGCGCCACCATGCTCGGTCATCCATGTTTTATGAAGTGGTAAGACACTCTACTGAGAATGGTGGTAGGCACTGGCAGTAAGAAGAGATTACCCTGGTTCGTTTAGGCAAAGCTCGGGCTCTTTTGTGCTGCCATCTGTATTGTCTTGTGATTTTTCTCTGCCAACATTTTGTTATTCACATGCAAGAGTAGAGAAGGGGGTTATACTAGTTTTTGGGTGCTGAAGCAGAATAGCGGGATGAAGAACCAAGTATGCTGGTGAGAGAGTATGTCTAAATAAAAAAGAATTGAGTATAAAGTGGGTAAGAAATAAGCAGCAGGGTGACAGGATAAAATGGGTCAAAATCAGGATATTTGCGAGAAAAAGGCATCGTATGAAGATGGGATCTCTTTTTCTTAACAATCCTTATTTCTATTTGGATTCTAAGAGACTGAAATGTTGAAATTCAGTTAATTTTAATCAGGTGAACTTTATAAAGTTTTATTCTTTTATAGCCTTTAGAATTAGGAAATTCTAACTCTACTTAGAAAATATCTTCAACAGAGAGCTAGATGGTATCTGAGCATTGCACTCACATTTGGAGATTACAGTTAATTTTTATCAAGACATACTTTTAAAAGATTGACTCCTTCACCTGTTTTCTTTTTCATTTACTCACTCAATAAATTGGAGCACCTTCCCTCTACTAGGAATTCAGTGGGAAACACTACAGTACCTAAGAACATCCAAAATACTTACACAAGTTGCTTTAGTGTTTCTTTAAGTGGAAAGCATTCTTGATTTAGTTTCACAGTTTGTTATGTTCAAATTCCCTTTATAACAATTAAAATATATATTATATAAAATTATATATGTAGTTCTAGCAAAATATATGTAAGTCAGCAAATATACACACACATACATACAAGCAAATATTGGTGATTTTATCAGTGACTCCGTCATTTATTGTACTCACTTACAAGTTGGTTACTTTTAAGTATATAATCTTCAAATATATTTTAGTACTGGGTTTCTTTACAGTAATCTACCATTATAATTTTGGTTAAAAGACTTCTATGAGTCTTTTTGGTTATGTTCCTTTGATGTATTGCAGAATTCTATTTGCAGTTCTTTTGGCTATTTGTATCTATGCTCATACAATATAAATTAAGAAAATGGAAGCTTATGACCATTTCATTATGAGAATGATGGGAAGACATAAGCTTTGTCAGTGACTTACAATGCTTCCTATATTCTCATTTAGAGATAAACTAAATAGAAGAAAATACAAGGGGGAAGAATCAAATTCATAGGGAAGACAATCCAATTTATTTCAGAGTACCTTCCTGAGAGGACAATTCAGGAAAGCAGCGAGAGTGTAAGACGAACGGAACTGGCTTAATAATGAATAGATGAGAGCAGCCAGCAGCTGCTATTGCAGACCACGGCTTTGAGAACTCGGCCAAAGAAATAAAAGAAGGGATGGAAGACTGCAGACAGCATGATCAGAGAAGTGCTGAAGCTCTGTCTTTGCCTGTCTCCTTCAGTGGATCTGCATCCCTAGGACCCACGATACAGCTTACCAAAGGGCAGACACTCAGCAGAAACTGTTTGATGGTTTGCTGTTAAAATCGTAACAGAACATAAAAACTCTCCCGGAAGTTCGAGACAATGGGATAAGAAAACCAGGACGGGATGGGGGTGGAGGGGGAAGGTTAACTTGGAAAGAGAAGACACTCCATTAAGACGATTACGCGGCACCATCACTGCCAACCGAAGTCCTTAGAGAATACAAAGGTTACATTCTAATTATTATAACTCGGTGTGAAGGGATAAACATGGTTCATCTATTCTGAAAACAAAATTCTTTCAATCTTCTACAGTGGAACCAACGGCAATATCAAAAGTGGGCTCAACCAATTCCCAGGGAAAAAATCACAAGTAATCCAGACTGTGAAAGTTCACTTCCTCGCCGTTATCCCTCTGACAACGGACTGGGTAGCGACGGAAACCAAAACAAACGATCGAACTGTGGCAGCTCTGGTAAAGCATCAGGAATGCGCTGGGCTGACTGTTACAGCAGATCTTCAGACCAGCAAAAGCTTTACTTGTGCCATTTCTCTAAGGAGAACGATCGCTCAGAAAGTGGCACGGACACAAGAAAGGAACATAATGGCATAACTCTAGATGGCAAAATATCTCCCGCACAGCACACACATTTATTTTAAAATCTACAAAAAATTTACCTCGAAGTGGAAAAGTGGGGTGGGGAGGGGGTGACGGGTGGCAGGGGAAGGAGCCGGTATCACTTCAGGGCCAAAGGGGGACAACGACAGTGTGAAGCTAACACCCGCGTCAGGACGGCTCGCTAGCTCGGATCGCTCTAACGAGAACCCCGAACCCCTCCGAGCGCCGCCCCGCGCCGGCGCGGCCGGGAAGGATACACGCCGGGGCCGCGGGGGGCTCCGCCCG